ACTCACTATGTTGCCCAGGTTCACCTCAAACTTGGGGCGGTCCTCCTGCCTCAGCCTCCTGAATGCTAGGAGTACAGGTGTGCGCTACCTGGAAGGGGTGCAAACTCTTCGTTTCTTTCTGCCCAGAGGCGGGGCCCCTAGCAGAGGGCTTCCTGTCTCAATGACCAGAGACCTGCCTGGCCCCAGAGGCCAAGCTGCATGCTTAGCCTTCCCATTTCCTGTTGGGATCCTGGTGGGATCTTGCCTGGCCTGGCCCCCTCTCCCCAGGACGAGTCCTGTGCAATTAGGGTCACTGTACCCCTGCCATTCCGCCCACTTCCTACAGCCCTCGATGGCCTCTCGGAGTCCAGGTCTGGAGGGGAGACTGTCTAGCCTCACACCTCTGTGGTCTTGGCTGGCTCCTGCCTCACTCTGGGCCTGTTTCCCCTGTGCTCCAATGGAGGGGTTGGGTGAGAGGCTTTGGGAGTGAAATGATCTCCCCAGGCCTTCCTATCTTCAGGGTCAAGTGCTAGACCCTAAATGGCTTTGGAGGACTCAGACCAAGTCCCGGCACCAGGAACCCTCATGCCCTGGCCCCAGCCCAGTAGGCTGGGTGGGGGCCCTGGGCTGCCTCACTGTGGGTCTTTCATGGTTCTCATTTTGTCTGTTGGTGTTTTTTTTTTTGTTTGGGTTTTTTTTGGTACCGGGGATCGAACTCGGGTCCTTGCACTTTTGTGAGACAAGGTCTCCCTATACAGTTCAGATTGGGCTTGAACTCACTGTGAAGCCCAGGCTGGCCTCAAATGCATGGCAATCCTCCTGCCTCAGCCTCCCAAGTGCTGGGATCTCAGGCATCCACCACCAGGGTTGGGATTCTCATCACGAGTGCCTGAGGGCTCCTGGCCTGTGGGCTCCTCAGGTGGGCAGTGGAGGTGAAAGTTTAATCCACCAGCCACTGCCAAGTGCCCCGAGGCCGGTGACTGTAGCTGCTTATGTGTTGGCTTCTCGAGCTATAAAATGGGAATGGGGATGATTAATGCTCACTGGGTCATAAAGGTTATTACATGATGTGTGTAGAGCACATTAAATGCTCTAGAGTAGATAACTACTATGAACATTATTCTTGTGATTCTTTTTCTTTTTTCCTCTTTGGCAGTACTAGACACTGAATCCAGGACCTTTGCATGGAGCTACATCCCCAGCTTTTTATTTATTTAATTTTAAAATTTTGAGACAGGGTCTAACTTTCTCAGCCTGAGTTCATGCTTCTGACCCTCCTGCCTCAGCCTTCCAGAGTGCTGGCATTACACGCATGCACTCCCATGCCTAGCTTCCTGTGAATTTTTGTAATCCCCTAAAGGTGGATGAATGAATCAGTGCCATTGCAAGGTCCCATGTCCTCGAAGCATGGGGACCCCAAAACTGTCAGGATGCAGGGCCTAGTGGGTGAGAATCTGGGGAGGCTGATGCAGGAGGGACTTCCCCTGGGGCCGAGGTGGGAGGCTGCTGGTGTGAGGCTGCACCCGGGAGCTGGAGCGTGTGTGGCACTCAGCTTCCTTCCGTCCCACGTGTGTTCTCCAGGTGACTCACGGGCTGGGGCCCTTTGTTCTTGCCTTTGAGGGTGAGGCCGGACAGGCTGGCTCTTCTGGGTGCCTGGCCCTTGTTCCCGACTGAGTGCTCACGTGACAGGTGGCGGTGGGACCCCGGGCCCTGGCCGTGGCGCCCTGGTGACTCTGAGAGCCCTCTGTTCCTGGTGCCTCGGACCAGCCGTGTCCCGTGGGGTCTCCCCACCAGTGTGTGTGACTTGCTGTCCTGTCCTAGGTGAAGGTCCTGGTGGCCTGAGGTCACAGAGGGAGAGGCTGCAGCACCTCCCTGTGCACAACACTTGGTAGTTGCATTTCTTGTTCTTTTTCCTTTCTTTTATCTCCCCCAGTACTGGGAATCATACCCAAAGTCTCCTATGTGCGAGGCAAGTGTTCTACCACCAGGCCATACTCTCAGCCCTTTTTCTTTTAGTCTGAGACAAGGTTCTACTATGTACCCCAGGCTGGCCTTGAACTTATGATTCTCCTGCCTCAGCCTCACATGTAGCTAGGATTGCAGGTGTGTACCACCATGTCCCTTTAAGGGGCAGGGATCCCAACCGTCCCTTCTCATGGGGACTCGGGAGCAGAGCAGTATGCCAGCCTAGGCGAGTGGCCACAGACCTGGGGCTTCTCACCACCTACCCTGGGGGTGCAGAGGGGACCGAGGAGGTGACAGGATCTGCCCTGCTCTGGTTTCCCAGGCTCTCTGGAGGTGCCATATCATTTGACAGGATTCCATTTGAGCAGGAAGAGGAAACTGAGGAGCTGAGCTTAGGTGACAGCTTCAGATGGCGTAATGGGTGCTGACCTTTTCCGCTGCTGATGTGTGGCCTTGGGCTCAGCTGGCCACCTCCCAACCAGGCCCTGTGCAGCAAGGGCCCTGCCTGCTGGGCCACACTGGAACTGGAGAGCCCTTTCTCATACTGGCCCAGGGGCTGGGGTGCATCTGACTCCCAGCCAGAGTTCGCCTTTCTAGGAAACCCCTGTTGTCCTCCTGTGTCTTAGACTTCCTGGGAGACTGAGCTGTGGCACTCTGGTGTGATCTCCTGAAGTCAGAGGGACAAATATTAGGTGCTACGTACTGGGGATATGTCACGAAGGAGACACAAACGGGTCCTGTCCTTGTGGGGCAAATGGACAGAAAACAAAGGTTAAAACCAAGTATGCTAATGACTAACTGGGTTCTGCCCTGAATAGAAGGCTGGTGACAGCCAGGGGACAGTGCCTTTCCCTGCCCTAGGCTGACAGGTGGAACTCAGGAACGGTTTGATCAAGGCTGAATGTTGGGCTCCCTGGGACTGCTGCTGTGGTGGGAAGGGTTGCTGTCTTATGTTATAGCTGGAGGGTGTCAGGGCCTTGAGGATCTAACACCATGGAGTCCAGTCCCTTCACTGAGCGGATGAGAGGACAACCAAGAAGGGAAGCCTGGGCCATCCTGGAGCAGTCAGGTGCTGGTAGCCCTGTCTCACCACCTCGTTTTGCTGTGCCTGTGGCTGAGCAGCGCCCCCTGTGAAGCGCCAGTGAGGGTCATGCAGTTGCCTGGAAAGGAGGACAGAAGGCTGGCAGGGCCTCTCAGGAATTTCTACCATCTCTCCTTTCGGTTCCCTCTGTACCTCAGGAGGCCTGCAGCCAGGGTAGGGCAGGGCCCAGCTCAGAGGGCGGCTAAGGGAGTCCTGCCATCTGAATAAACTGTATCTTCTGTGTAAACGTCTCCATCTAAGGGTCCCTGGCACCGCAGCCTGCGATTGGGTTCCTGCTGGCCCAGCTGCAAGCTTGCGAGCAAATTTTCATATTGGTTCATCTTCCTCTCCTCTCCCCTCCGCTTCCTGCTGCCTCTTCTTCCCCACCCCACCTCACCCCACTGCACCCCACTGGCCCGCAGGACCCTGGGAGCTGGAAGCTGCGGGTAGCAGTGTGCCCACGCAGGCGTGTGTATAACAGGAGTCTGGGGTCCCAGGCAGCTTGGGAAAAAACCTGTGTTGGGCTTAGTGAGAAGAATGACTGGAAGACCATTTGTCCCAGACTCTTTTTTGAGGCTGGGTTTCTCTGTGTAGTCCGGGCTGGCCTTGAATGCTGCCTGGCTTGTCCCGGACTCGTAACATCCATCAGGGAAGAGCCAAGCGTTCAGGTCTTCAGTTCTCGCCACAGACCTTTGAGGCTGGTACTGTTTTTATGCCTATTATGGCTAAGGAACTGAGGTTGGGAAAGTCAGTGTCGGGGCAGAGCTGGGTCTGTTGGGTCCCAGAGTTTGGGTTTTCGCTGCCACATGTCTGTCCCCAGCTGGGCCTTGAGACGCCCTCTTGGGAAGGACCTGCCCACTTTCAGAGATCACCTGAGAACGGACTGCAGTTCAGCCAGGATGTGCCCGGGTCTTAGCTTTCCCCGTGTGTTTTCCCAGGGAATAATTCAGCTCTCTGGTTTGGGGCTGGGAGTTAGCCTGTCCTTCCTGTCCCTTCTCAGCCCTTTCCTGGTCCTTGGCCCTTTATAGCTTCACTGCATACTGTGCAGGCCTGAGACTTCCTTGTGTTTTGTCTTGTTTTGTTCTGTTTTGTTAGATGTGGTACTGGGGATTGAACCCAGGGCCTTTGCACTGAACTACAGCCTCAGCCCCTCTTTTTTTTTTTTTTTTTTGGTACCGGGGATCAAACTCAGGTCCTTGCGCTTGTGAAGCAGCGAAACCACTGAGCTAAATCCCTGGCCCTTCCTTTTCTATTTTTTCTTTCGAGATAAGGTTTCACCAAATTGCCCAGGTTGGGCTTAAACTTTGATCCACCTGCCTCTCAGCCCCTCAGAGTGCTGGGATTACAGTCATGCTCATGTTCCACCACACTCGGCTCTGAGACTTAATGTTAAAGCCCTATAGCTAGAAGTTCCATCTTTTTCTTTTCTTTCTTTTCCTCTTCTCCCTCCACCTTTCCTGTTTAAGATGGGAATTTGCTATTTGTCCAGGCTGGTATGGAACTGGCCTCAAGAGATTCTCCTGCCTCAGCCTCATGAGTAGCTGGGATTATAGGTGAGCACCATTGCTCCCAGCCGGAAGTGTTTCATCTGGATGTCTTGGTCAGCGCAATAAGTCAAGGAAGGAGTGGGGAGGCAGAGACAGTACAAATACAAGACATACATGGTCCCTGACCTCTAGCCTTTTCCCCGTGAGGGTACACCTGTGGGAATACGCAGAGGCTTGGAGAGACTGGGAGCTTCCCAGGGCCACACATGAATCAGTGACAACTGAAGGACTCAGGGCCCTTGGTCTCTGGGGCTGACCTTGTGATCTCCCGCAAAGAAGCTGCAGCTGAGGGAGAGGAAGGTGGGGAGCCCCCACCGGCACCCTCAGCGCCGGCGGCCTCTGAGGTGGGCAGGCTGTGGTTTGTTTGCCTTCAGGTCTTCATTGCGGTTTCTCGCTCGGCTTGCCCTCTCTGATTCTCACCTCTGCAGGACGAGGGCCCGGAAGACTGGACCCCACACTTGCCCAATCCCTCGGCTGCTCTGCCTAGGACCCAGGTTGCTGCTGTTCGGTTGCCCTTTGCTGCTCTCCATCTCTGGCTTGAAACATCTCAGAAAGCTGCCAGTAGGGCTTGTGCCAGGTCCTCGTGCCCACCCTGGCCACCAACCCTGGGACAGATGGAAACCTGTCAGCTCCTCGTCGGTCATTGTCTCTGACCATCCCAGGTCCGTTTGCTCCGGCTGGGGATTTACTCTTATTCTCAAGTTGTTCTGACAGCCTGACAAGGTGGGGGACTTCTGTTCTTCCATTTTACAGCAGAGGAAACTGAGGTTTGGGAAGAATTAAGCCACATGTTCAAAGCCCCATAGCCAGAGAATCAGCATTTGAACCTAGATCTGATACCAGAACCTGACAGGACACTGTTCCATGGAATGGCCTGGGAGTGGGAAGGAAGGATGGTAAATAGTTATGGAACAGATGAAGGCTTTCTTGTGTGTTCTGTTTGTTTTTGTTTGTTTGTTTGTTTGTTTGAGACAGGGTCTCATTGTGTAGCCCAGGCTGGCCTTGAACTTGTGGCAATCCTCCTGCTTCAGCCTCCTGAGTGCTGGGACTACTGGTGTGTGTGCTTCAGTCTTTGCCTGCCTTTCTGCAGGGAGGGGATGAATTGAATGAGGGCTGCGCAAACTTCCTGGCCTTCCCTGACCTTGGCTCTGCTGCTGGTGCTACTTCGGTCTGTCCCAAGCTGCCTGATGGAATGTGTGGGGGGCAGGCTGGGTCCTGCCCTTTGCTCCTGCCTCTTGGTGACAGGAACCTTGCAGTCCCTGCAAGGAGAGTTCAGCGATTCTGGCTGTCAGGCTGGCCGTGCACACGTGCTGGGTCCGGGCTTGGTCAGGAGGTCCTGAGTGGCCGTCTCCGGGTCTCACTCCAGCTGGACCTGCAGTTCAGCGGTGGCTTCTCACATGGGCCCTGGACCGATGCCAGGCCTGGGGCGGGCACCTGCTAGGGTGTGTGCTGCAGCGCAGTGCCAGGCCCCAGTTCAGCCTCGGCACTCTGGACTTGGCCTGAGAGGGAGTTGGGTTGGGGAGCAGCTGGGGTGCTGCCCTGTGGCCGGGGCCCCAGGGAGGAGGACTTGGGGTCCGGCGGAGGTGGTGAGGATGACAGGAAAGGAATGGAGGTGAAGGATGATGGTGAGGGAAACTTCGTGGAGGCTGGCACCGTGGATCAGTGGTAGCATGCGGGAGGCCCTGGGTGGGGATGAGGCACAGTTGGCAGCGTATCCAAAATTACTGTTGTAGTAGAAGCCAGGCAAAGTAGTCCACACCTGTGACCCCAGCACTCCGGAGGCTGAGGCAGAAGGCTGTCTGTGTTCAAGTTGAGGACAGCGTGAACCACATATTGAGACTCTGTCTCAAAAAACCCCAAAAAGGCCGGGGATTTAGCTCAGTGGTTTTGCCGCCTGCTGCACAAGCTCAAGGACCCGAGTTCGATCCCCGGTACCAAAAAAAAAAAAAATTCAACCCCCCCCCCCAAACAACTCACTGTTGTAACTCAGCCACCCTCTCTGTGACCACCAGCAAGTCCATCCCATCCTGATGACAGCAATGGCGTCATTATCCCCAGGGCTCAGAGAGGTGAGGGTGCTGCAGCACTGAGCCAGATGTGTCCTGTGGCTGCGTGGCTTCCCCGCTGGGGCTGGGCAGGAGGGGGCACTGGGAGGTGCCTGGGCCTCCTGGGGCATCCTGCGGTCTGGGGTGCTCTGGCCCACTTTCACCCTTTCTGCATGGCTCCCTTGGCCTCAGGTGTGGCCTTGGCTGCAGCAGGGGCCAGCATGGGCCCGCAGCACAGAGAGGGAGCCTGACCTGCTCTGGGTACGGCACTCCTGGGGGACCTCTGCGCCCTCTTCCACCACTGCCAAAGTGGAGATGCCCCCGAATCTTGGGCTCCCAGAACAAGCTGCCAACTGCAGGCTGTGGGCATGGGGCTGCTTCCAGCCAGCCAGGGCAGGAGGGCCTGGCGGCCTGAGAGCGCCTTTGTTTCCCTCTGTTTGTGTCAGGATGGGAATTGACTTCCTCCCACTGAGGCCTGAGGTGGAAAGAGCAGCCTGGGTGGGCGGGTGTGGGTGTGCCCTGCCCTGCCCTCTTGGGGAGCATTTCCCCGGGGCTCCCCGCCTCAGGCCCTCCTGACTTCAAGCTCCCCCCGCCCCCCGCCCCTTGTCGCTGAACCCTGGTTAAATATTGGCTAGCTGAGGAGGTTTGGAGGCAGCTCTGTAAGAAATCCTGCCCCGTTCCTCCTGGCTCCACCGCCTTGCCCCAAATCTGCCTTGCCAGCCTTGGCCCTCAGTCCTTGCCAGGGGCCATTTTGGTGTCTGAGAAGCCCCCCTTCCTGGGGTGGGGCATTTCCTTCCCACCTGGGCTGGGCAGGATCTGGTTGCTGGGGAGCTGGATGGAAGGAGCCATTCACAAGCCATGCATGAATTGCCACTAAGACCCGGAGGACGAGGCCAGGGGCCCTGGGTTGGTCTGGGGTGGGCTTCCAGCCTGTGGAGCAGGAAGAGGTGGCCCGGGAGAGACCATTCCGTATTGGAGATCCCAGCTGGCCTCCTCTGGGCGCCAAGTCCCACTGACTTTTTTCTCCCCCGCCGGTCTGGTTTTGCTCTTCAACCTATGAGATGTTGAGCAAGTCCTTTAGCCTCCCTCAGCCTCAAATTCCTCATCCAAAGAATGGGTTTATTAGCCTGTCCCAGTGAGGGGTAAAGGAAGCCTGTTGACGATAACTGTCAACCCACCCTGATCCGCAACCCACCCTAGCGGGGAGCCTCAGGCTGGCACTGGGCTAACTGTGACACATTCTCATTCCTGCATGTTGTGGTGATGATGATTATAATTACATGCAAATGGGGCCTCTGGAACCTTTCCCTGAGCAGATGGTGTGAGGGCAGGGCCTTGAAGTCTGGCTCTTTTGTCTGTTGTTTGTTTTGGGATACTGGAGATTGAGCGCAGGGCCTTCACACTGAGCTACATCCCCAGGCCTTCTCTATTTTGAGACAGAGTCTCCATGAGTCACTTCATTGCTGAGGTCTAGCTGGAACTTGCAGTCCTCCTGCCTCAGCCTCCTAAAGTGCTAGAATTACAGGCAGGCATCACCATGCCCAGCTCTGGCTGAGAGTTGGAACTTGGAAAGGAAGGGTGAAAGCAGGAGGGAGAAAATGCCATGCAGGGATGTGGGAAGAGTCAGACTCATGTCAGTGTAGCCTGATTATGGGCTGCAGCGTGCCAGGCCTCGGCAGGCCTTGTGACAGTGCTGATGGGGAGTCCATCATGGTCTCCTGGGGCCATCAAAGCCCAGTGAGAGCCTTTACAGAGCTGTCATGTGATGATCTTCTAGATGTTTCCACAGCCCTTGGAGTCTGGGTCCTGCTGCCCTGGATTCCACCCGCAGGGCGCATCCCTGCCCTTGCAGCCTCGGTTTCCCCAATAGTGGCTGTCATGGGGGCCCAGTGTTACACAGCTGTGTGACTCTGTGTGTGTGTGTGTGTGTGTGTGTGTGTGTGTCCCCTGTGGAGTACCTGGCCCACAGCCTAAGCCCTGGCTGCTCCCTGCCATCTTGAGCCCTTGGTGGTGACGGAGCCTCCTCCCTGGGCCCTTGGAGAGTCAAGGCAGCCGCCGGACACGTGCAGTCTGGACAGGGGGCTGTGGGTACCAGGCCAGGCTGCTGAGGTGCTGTGTTTATGGCGAGAGGGGTTTCTTTGTTTGTAAGTGGCCTCGGGGAAGGGGTCAGCCGCTGAGGGTCCCTTCAGGAGCCAGCGCAGCCACCTCACCAGGAGCGTTGTGGGGCTCCAAACTCCAAGATGGCTTTCAAGTCACTATGTAGCCTAGACTGGCCTCAGACTCAAGCAATCCTCCTGCCTCAGCTTCCTGAGTGTTGGGATTTTAGTTGTGTGCCACCACGCCCCGCCCCCTCCTTTCTCTGCCACACAGGTGCTGCCCGGAGGAGTGAGACACACAGAACTAGCCCAAACCCACTAGGAGCTCATCAGGGAGCTGTGGGAGTGGGTGGGAGTCTCACCCATCCTGGAGGAAAGCAGTGGGAGCCATGGAAGGCTTTTGGGCAAGGAGGATCAGGCTTCTCCCTTCGGCTCCTGCGTTTGGAAGAGATCTGAGGGAGCCAGGGTGGAAATTTAGGGGCCATGGGGCAGGCCTGGGGGCAGCGACTAGCTGGGGCTGCCCCGCCTGGGTTGAGCTGGGCTGACCCTGCTGGCCTTGTTCTGGAGAGTGTGGCCTGCTGGGAGTGCCTGTCCCTCCAGGACCTGCCATGGCGAGTGGAGGGCACGAGGAGTCCTCTGGCCGCCCCTCCCCACCCTCCTGGACAACGGTGGCCTGGTGGGGACCCTCGCTGCCCACGTCTCCCCAGCTCTGGTCCTGCCAGCCCTGGAGCCTGTCATTTCCCCTCCTCCCAGCTTCCCACCTTTACAGGGCCTGAGCAGGGGCTGCACGTCGCCCTTCTGACCGTGGCCACCCACAGGGCCAGTGGTGTGGGGAGGCCCTGTCCCCCCACAGGCTGTCGGCAGTGGTTGTGAGGTCAATTTTCCCCAGCCTCAGTTCCCGGTTAGACTGTTTGGGGTCTGTGACCTTGGCAAGCTGTGTGTCTCAGAAGTCACTCAACCTCTCTGAGCCTTATCGTCTTCAGGTGTGTGAAATAATGCACTGCTGCCTTTGTGTGCTCGTGAGCATAGGGGTGGTCGAGTAGGAGGGCTACCGGCAAGGCACTGGGGGGGGGCTGAGACGTGCTGTGTGACCCAGGACAGTGTCACTACCTCTCTGGACCTCAGCTTCCCCTGCTGTCCCAGGCCGCGGACAGAAATGATAGTGCTTGGCCTGCCTCCACGATGTAGGGAAACTGAGTCCCTGGCCCTACTCGGCCCCTGCTGTTCCTTGGCCCTGCTCCCCAACCCTCTAGGAACCAGGCGGGCAGGTTCTGAGCCTGCCCTACCCCGAGGGCGCTGTCACCTGCCTGGTTTCAGTGGGCAAATCTCTCAGCCCGAAACCCTGAAACTGGGCCGGCCTTGTGGGCGAGGTGTGTCTGGAGCCCACTGGAGGGACCAGGTGAGCCAGGGACCAATCTGGCTTGGTGCCCACAACTCGGGCCAAACCAGGTCTGGGACTGGCATGAAGTCCCTGGGGTTGATGTGGGGTTGGATGCCACCGTGGCTAGAGGCCATCCTCTG